GTCATAAACTACTACAAGACCGTTTCAGGCTGGACATAAGGAAGAATTTCTTTACTGTCCGAGCCCCCAAGGTCTGGAACAGCCTGCCACCGGAGGTGGTTCAAGCGCCTACATTGAACACCTTCAAGAGCAAACTGGATGCTTATCTTGCTGGGATCCTATGACCCTAGCTGACTTCCTGCCCTTTGGGCAGGGGGCTGGACTCGATGATCTTCCGAGGTCCCTTCCAGCCCTAATGTCTATGAAATCTATGAATTTATATTGTAAATAGCAATTGTATTGATTTGGAAGGACTTCTTTGAGGTGACTTTGCTGGACTTTTTGAAGGGCTCTTGGCTGGAGTCTTTTCAGGAGTCTTGGCTGCAGGTTTTTCTGGAGTCTTGTCTGCTTTCTTAAAGAAAGTGGCCATGGAAGTTTAGACAGATGTTCTTCAGGGAGATGAGCGACGCAGCGAACTTGTTCACTGGGTTGGTGTTGCATCGGATCACACAATTATAAGTTGAAACTGACATCATAAAATTGAAACAGGGTGTCAATTTATAAACGTTGTAAGTGCGAAATGTTGTAACTCAAAACATAAGTCGAGGACTGCCTGTATATGTTCTGGGTATAGCTGTTACGACTCAGGAAAGACCTTGGAGTCACTGTAGATAGTTCTCTAAAAACATCAGCTTAATATGCAGCAGCCACCATAAAAGCCAATAATATGTTGAGCATTTGTAAGAATGGAATTGAAAACAAAATGGAGTACATCATCATACCTTTATACAAATCCATGGTGCACCCACATCTTGAATGCTGTGTGCAGTTCTGGTCCCCACATCTCAAAAAAGATGTAGTAGAATTAGAAAAGGGACAGAGAAGGGCAATCAATGATCAGGAGCCTGCAGCAGTTGCCATACCAGAAGAGACTCAAAAAGGCTAGAACTCTTCTGTTTGGAAAGGAGAAGGCTGAGGAAGGATATGATAGAGGTCTGTAAAATCATGAAGGGTGTGGACCAAATCACAGAAAATGAGGATTGGAAGGGACCTCAGGAGGTCACATTTAGTCCAACACCCTCCTCAAAGTAGGACCATACCTAACTAGATCATCCAACCCAAGGCTTTGTCTCCCTGGGTCTTCAAAACCTCCAAGGATGGAGAGGCCACAACCTCTCTGAGTAGCCTGTTCTAGTGCTTTACTACTATCCTAGTCAGAGAGGTTTTCCTAGTATCTAACCTAAACTTTCCTTGCTGCAACTTGAGACCATTGCTCCTTGTTCTGTCATCTGGTGCCATTCTGAACAGTCCAGCTCCATCCTCTTTGGAAACACCCTGCAGGTAGTTGAAGGCTGCTGTTAAATCCCCCCTCAGTCTTCTCTTCTGCAGATGAAAGAGACCCAGTTCCCTCAGCTTCTTCTCACAAGTCCTGTGACCCAGTTCCTAGCCATTTTTGTTGCCTTCTGCTGAATTCTCTCCAACTTGTCCACATCCTTTCTGTGTTGGTGGCCCAAAACTGAACACAATACTCCAGATGTGACCTCACCAGTGCTGAACAAATAGGTTCAGTAAGGCTGCCTGTACAAGAGTGGGGAGATTGCTCTTTACAGCACATCAGAGCAGACTCAGTTAATTGTATCTGCTGGAGCATGGTAATTACCGCACTTCAGCAGTCTTCTGCATCTTGTGTATCAGCCTCACCGTGCTTAAAAATGGTGATGGAGATGCTTGAACTAAAGCTTGTTGATTGAGCTTTAGTTCAGGTGCTCTGCTGCCAGTTTTAAGTGCAGGGGTGCTGCTAAATGAGATGTTGCAGTACTTTAATTAAAGCGGCACTTGGGAGCTGCTGTAATTAAAGCACCGGCCTCCCATCCCCAGCCTCAGAGCACGTTTAAAAGTGACCCTAGTCCCAGAACACTAGAACTAGGGGGGCACTTGCTGAAATTAGTAGGTAACAAGTTTAAAACTAACAAGAGAGTTGTTTTTATGCAACGTGTAGTTAACTTGAATTCATTGCCACAGGAGGTAGTGGAGGCAGATAACATAGGTTCAAATAGGAACTCAATAAATTCATCCATGATTGGTAGATCCATTAATGGCTATTGAACAGAATAGTTGGGCATGTTTCCTCTGGTATCTCCAGCACATCTAACACATCTCTTCTATCTAATAAATGGTAGATCTCGGGGAGGGTATTGAGTAGGTGATAGATCCTCTAGAGATAACTGGTTCACCTGTCTCTTTGTACACTGTCCATTTCTGCTGCTGTCGGAGACAGTTATCCCACCTATACTGGGATAGGTGGATCATTGGTCTGACCCAGTAAGACACTTCTTACGTTCTTATGATAGAGCTGGTGTATTGTTATCTTATGCATATACATCACAGAATGTGGCTCATCTCATCCAGTGTACCAGCTGCTGTTGTGGAAACTATGTGGGTGAAACAGGACAGGAACTATACACCAGAATAAATGCTCACAGAAGAAAATATGAAGAACAGATGCACAAACACTAATAGGAGCACTTTTACAGAACAACCGCTTCTGACCTCACCATCTTTGCATTTTGAAGGGAATTTATAAAACACGCTTGGGAGGCGGGCCTGGGAACAGAAGTTCATAACTCTGTTGAACAGTATAAAAACATTTTTAAAAATCTGGACTTAATGTAGACAGTGGCTTTATGGCTCAGTACAACCTAACAACTACTGCCAATAATCCCCCTGCGTTTCATACATAATAACTACCTCCTTCCTGAATGGTCTCACTCTGCCATTAACTAGATTGTCTGTTCTACTGTACTTCTTTTGTCTTGTAATGGATCCTGATAACACCTCTTTACCCTACCCCACAGTTTTCCTCCATCTCTCAAAACAGACTGTTTTGCATTTACACAGAGCCTTTTCTCATATGTAGCTCAGCCTGTCTTCAGTTCTCTCTCAGATTGGAAGAAGGACCTTTGATACCTGAAAACTTGTCCAGCAGCTCTTCCAACTATGTAGTCGGTTCAATAAAAGATACTACCAAAATCATCTTTTTCCATTGAGGGGTGAAGTGTGGGAATATAAAATGAAAACAAAAAGCAGGAAACTGTCCTGGAACAGGATGTACTGTTGAGTAAGGAAATACTGAGACCATGGTCTCTCCAGACCCTAGGCCTGTCTTCAGTCTGCAATGCTTGTTGGGGTCTTTATATCTTGCATCGGTTGAGACCAGCTTCTCAGGTGTTGGATCAGTCCTTCTCAGGGCCCAGGACAAGCAGGCAACACAGCTGTTTCCTCTAATCAGGGACACATGAGTAAATTCAAGAAGTTTTCTTTTCTTTAATTTTTTTACCTTTTTGTAACATGGTGGTTTTTCTGACGGTAACTAGAGTGGAGCGGTAATTGTAAGGTGGCAACGGCTCTGTGCCTGCATGATACAGTGCATGCTCATCCTAGAGACTATCACCACTGACTTGGCTCTTCCCCATCCTTCCAGCTTCTTTCTGATGACTGACTGACTTGCTCATGCCTCTTTTCCCTTCTGCTGGCCTAAGTACATGGTGTACTCTATACACGTACATGCTTTCAGTGTGAGGGGCATCTGGAATTATCTTGTCTCTCCTGTGTGAGAGCCCTTACCCCACCTTCACCCTCTTTTATGTCTGAGTACCTTCTTTTTGAAGCAAGGTGACTGGCAATTTCCAAGGGGAAACCAAAGCTTGATTGTCTTTATTTTATGGCCGCTGTGGTATGTGCTTCTCGAAACAGGTCTAGGACATGCCAGGTGTGCTTGGAACAGAAAGTGGTGAGCTTTTAGGGTTGAGGGTAGGAATTAATTCCACCATCTGAGGCCATCTTCTGAGGAGCTTCGATATCCTGTCGTAATGACTTTGCCCTTGGGATGGACCGTTCTATTGGACCTGTGCAGGGGAGAAATCAAACATGGTCTGACTTCAACCTTGTGCTTCAGGCAAACTTTTAGTTGTCCTGTCCCAAGGCTGTTGAATACCTTGAAGAGGACAGATTTTGACCTTGAAGCCAGCATGGAGAGCAGATGATTGTTCATCTATAAGTTGATCTTGGCTGGGTGCTGCTGGTATAGTATGCATTGAAGGACAGAAATAAGGTTGTCAACATGCAATTTTTGTTCCACCTCTAGCTCTGATGGTGTAGCCTGTACTGTCTCCGGTGTGTAGTCTTCTTATTCTGCTGCTCATGTGCACTCTCCGAAGAATACAGTGTAGTAATGAAGTCCCCCATGCCTTTTGTGTTCCAGGGAAGGAATCAATCAGGATCTGATCCACGTATCTCCCTGCATCACTGAGCAGTTCATTGAGTTGCTGTGTCACTACAGTCCTGACCAGGTTTTAGAGATGCTACAAGTCCTGGAGTTCTACAGACTGGAGGAAACCATTCAGGTGAGGTGGAGGCACTGTGGGGGCTCATCCCATTTCATCACTTCTAAAAGAAGGAAAAAAGCCAGAAGATTTCTTAAGGTAGAGTTTGTGGCTTTTTTGTACCTAGATCACTCAGAAACACCAACTCCATGAAGCTTCCTCATACCTTTTGGAAAAGAAAGGAGATGTCCATGGTGCCTTCTTGGTAATGCTTGAGGTACAGTAACCCAAGGCCCTGAATTCCACAGCTTGACATTTCTGCCAGTACAACTGGTTATGATGTGTGCACTTGGTGTACCTGGCCCTTGGCAGGGCCACTGCCCCACCTCCCCCAGCCAGACTCCAAAGCCAGGAAGCATTTGGAGGGTGCTCCTTGCTGCTACTTTCCAGTACGCCAGAGATGGATCTCAACAGTGGCACTGGGGGTGGAGGAAAGGCTCCCTCGGAGCAGTTCCATCACCATGTTTCTGGGTTTGGCACATGGTTGTTTCACCAAAGCAAAAATCTGTGCACTGCTACAGTCTCTCCATCAGGCAGGGAAATGGGGTTGGAGGGGAAAGACCTCTGTGTATAAACGTGTTCCCATTGATACCCTGCGAGCTTTCCTTCTCTAAGAAGCTCTGTTTTGATTTGTTTTAGCAACTGCAAAGCAAGCTGCTGGTGCTTACACAGGAAGATGAAAGTAAGTCTTTGTTTTGTGTGTGTTGATTTCTTTTTTTTTTTTTCCCAGTGAATTCTTTTCCCCGCGTTTTTCCCCTTTGAAAGAATGTTCTGTGAAACAAAGCCATAGATGTTGAAATGTGTGTATTTGTACATTGCTCATTACAGTGGGATTTCCTCATAATAGTGAGAATGCCCGGGTGCTGCAGTAATACCCTTTATTATGTATTTGTAACATTAATGGTAATGATTCTAATGGATTTTTCATCACCCAGCTCTTCTCAGATGTCACCTTGAAAGAGAGAATTGCAGGGGATTGCCAAAGTTCAGTTAACTGCTCTTTACTTTCTGGCAGTCATGATAGCGTTGCAGTGACATATCAGAAATGTATCCCGTGATTGTAATACAGAAGCTTTATGAAAAATGAGAAACATCTGCCAGTAGTGGCAGGACAAAGGAATCCTCCACGTCTTGATGTGGGTCTTCCATCATGCAAATTGTGGATTTTCTTGGTTGAGATATAACACATGGCCTTCTTGCATGGTTATAATCCTGGAGGCACAGTCTGCCAGGAAATCCCTCAGCCCTTTGCAAGGCTGAATGTGACAAAAATGGCTTGTGGGAATTCTAAGTTAAGATTGAACGGAACCAACTAGCCATGTCGCAGCTTGAGTGTCTTGATGTATTCATACTTTCTCATCATTAGGGGTAGTGAGATGAAACTAGCTGGGGCATTCAGCATTGTGAACATACTTAACTTTTAGTTTTTAAATGGTTTTATGCATTGCATAATTAACAGCTCATTTGCCACAAGATATAATTGAAGCTAAGAGCTTATTGGAATTTTAAAAACTTAAAGGAAAAAAACCAGTTGTATATGGATGACTGTATCCATGACTATGCTAGATATAACAAATGTTACAAGAGTTATAAACCCTACTGGTTCAGGAACAAACCAGCAATTAACTTGCAAGGGTTTAGGAGCAGGCTAGAGGTCTGATACAGCAGTTAGTATTTTCTGAAACCTGCTAGTTTTTGTAGCTCCCTGTGTACATGCTGCCCATTGGGGAAAACAGCTGCAACAAAAGGAAGAGAGATCTTGGTTTTTACAGTAAACAACAATATTACAGCCGGAAGCACTTTGTCAGCTTCCCCCATTAACAAAAACCAGGCAAATTACCCGAAGGAAGCAGGTCTTTCATGCCTGCAGGAAATGTTATTACATCTCCTACTGCACTGCTGCTCTCCAGCTCCAGGACTCGGTGGCATCAAAAAGAACATGATGCTTTTAACTGGTGTCAAAGCAAATGTAAGCCAAAGCTCAGAAATTACTTATGCAGTCGTACAAAGTGTTTTGCAAGCACAGTTTATTTTGCTGTACAGCAAAATCAACAAAAAGAGTTGAGATCTGTTTTCATAATGTAGCTACTGCTATCTACAGGGAGTAAGTTTTAGGTGAACAGCTGAACAGCATAATTCTTATTTTTTTCAAAATGATTTGGCAGTAGTAGCATGTTTAAATTATCTGGGATCAATGATGTAATCTCCATTTTTGTTTTGCTTTTTAACCTAGATTCAACACAATCCAATTCAATAAAGGATATTGAAGCTACCTTACTGAAAACAATTGCACTTTGCCAGAGGAATTCACATAATTTAAACCAGCAGCAGCGAGAGGTAAAGGGATAAAATGCTGTATTACTAGAGTTTCCAGTACTATGCAGATTCAGGAGAGATTTTCACCTCCATTAAACCAGTCTTCTGTTAAGTTGTCTTGTATGCACCTGTGATTGGGTAAAATCCTATAACTGTAGGAATATAGTGTGCAGAATCTTGCATATATTCCTCTCTATTCCTGACATGTCTGTGCATAGTGACCAATGCATACTGCTAGAAGCTGGGATTTTAGCCAGCAGCTAGAAGAAAGGCCTCTTCTTTGCCTTGTACAAAGAAACATTGCTGCTGTCACGGTGCATATGAGAATTTTTGACAGTCATGTTCCTGGACAGGGGATATTTTGCCTGGAGCACACTGAGCTCACTTGCTTCATTGCAGAAAGTATGAAAGGCCATGTTCAGGGCAAAATCAGTCTTTGCTGTAGCACAAGCAGGAGCATAACTGATTGCAATAGATAGAAGTGAGATACTGAAGAAGCCCCCCTTCAAGAAAGAGGTTCAAAGAAAGCTTTACTTTATTCACAGATTCTCATTTAATCATGTCAAAGCATGCGACTGGCTTCTAACCTTGAACCTGGACTAGAGAATTTCTGCATCTTGCCTTGCCTGTGCTGAGATGGCACCTTTTGCTTCTGGCATAGGAAAAGTCTACATCAAGACATAAGCAATAAAAAGGCCGTTTTCCTTAATACCTTCAGAGAAACATGCACTGAGGATCTTCCTGAAGTGTCATCTCTCTACTCCCTTTCAAACCAGGGTTTTATTTGATATGTATACCTAAAATGTCTAAGAGCTGGGTTTGGGCTCAACCCTAGTGTTCCCATCCTCCTTGTGCAAGTAGGAGTGTGAGATTCCTAACATCTGAGATCCATGGAATTTAGTGTTGTTCTTCTTGGTCTGGAGGGGCAGGGAAAGTACTTCCTTCGAGGATGAGATTCCAGAAGATCTGCATAGTGTGCATGATCTGGACAGATTTCATTATGGACAGACTGATTATATTGTGCCTACGTGCAGTTCTCCCAGGTGGTATCAGTTCAATAGTGTTTTTTTTTTGGTTTTTTTGTTGTTGTTTTTTCTTACAATGGTGTTCTTCAGTAAGGAGTGCAAGCGTATCATCTCCAGTCCTCCTGCAGGAGAGTTCATTTACAAGCCAGCATTTTCCAACTGCTACTATTTAATCACTGTTTAGGAGAAAGCTGTGGTAACTAGCAGTAAATGCCGCCTTTAACAGTGGTCACCTTATGTACTGGTCTTTCTGCCAAATCATTGCAATTTTCAGTTGAATGTCCAAATAAATGAGTTCTTTGAACATTTCAGAAAATGACTGAGACTTCCATGCAAACCCTGTGGATTGAATAGGAATGGGGATTAGTTCTTTTGATCAAAGGCCTGAAGTTGTACACTGTAATAACCCACCAAGGAAAGAAACAGGCTGTGAATTGTATGCTCTCTTGTGTTAGAGACCATCTGTTGTCCTGCAGCTGTAGATGCAATACTTGCATTGCTTCATGTCTGGTTTGGAGCAAGTAAGACTGGAATAGTATTGGCTCTTCTCTTGAACTCTGGTCTTGTTACCCCTGTTTCCTTGCTCCCCACATAGTTACATTTAATATTTTTTACCATAGGAAGAGTTCACTTCTGGATTTACCCAGCTGTTATCTAGCAACCCCTATGATGGCTTTGGTTACATGGACTCTTTACCCCTAGTTGTCACATATATATGGCAAGACAGGGAGGCATCTTATAGGCTAACTTGTTCAGAGAGGCATGAGATTTCTTAGTCAGTCAGTCTGTAAGGGTAGACTGTGCTGCTTTCTGCCTTACTTCAGACTAGCCCAGCTAACTACCTCTCTCTATTCTGTATGTATGTATTTATACTACAGTGGAACTTGATGGGCCCCAGCTCAGATGAAGCCTGTGCTCATTCTTCTGTAAAAATCAAATACCTTACAACCTTAATGAGGAATAAACCAGGTCAGTGAGTCGAGTTTGTCCCTATGCTGTTTTGAGCCTGGGAAGCGATCGAGCTTAAGGGCACAGTCAGGCTTCTTCCATCCTTCCAAGCAGATGGCACCCCTGCTCTTAGACATGAGTGTCCTAGACTGTCAAGTAACAGAGCAGTTCCACTCTGTTATAATGCAAATGTAAAAGCACAGCAATCCTGGCACAGCTCTGACTCACTGCACTTGTGAAAGAGTGGAAGCAAAGTGTTTAATTGTGGTTTGTCATCATGTGGAAGCAGCCACATTTTTTGACCTCCAAAGGCTGAAGCTAATATTACAAATTTAGTTTTAAACGTTTTTACATATTTGTGCTTGTGTATTCTAGGCTCTCTGGTTTCCCCTCCTGGAGGCTATGATGTCGCCACAGAAACTGTCAGGTTCTTCAGCCTCATGCCGATACTCTGAACGTAAGTGTGCTGGCGTCTTGTGGTACCAAGGGCAAGTCAAAATAAGGCAGCAAACTCTGTTCTCCCCTTTTGTCCTGCCCAAATAATGGGAGGGAAACTGATTTGTGCCTGAACAAATAAATATATAATCTCTACATAGTGCTATAGCCAGGGCTAGAATATTTTTAAGGTATGTTTCATAGACATTTCATAGATTTCATAGACATTAGGGCTGGAAGGGACCTCGGAAGATCATCGAGTCCAGCCCCCTGCCCAAAGGGCAGGAAGTCAGCTAGGGTCATAGGATCCCAGCAAGATAAGCATCCAGTTTGCTCTTGAAGGTGTTCAATGTAGGCACTTGAACCACCTCCGGTGGCAGGCTGTTCCAGACCTTGGGGCCTCGGACAGTAAAGAAATTCTTCCTTATGTCCAGCCTGAAACGGACTTGCAGTAGTTTATGACCATTCGACCTAGTCGTCATCCCTTGGGGCGCTCTGGTGAACAAACGTTCCCCCAGATGCTGGTGGTCACCCCGGATAAACTTATAGGTGGCCATCAGATGACCCCTGAGCCTGCGCTTTTCCAGGCTAAAGAGCCCCAGGGCTCTCAGCCTATCATCGTAGGGTCTGCTTCCCTGACCTCTGATCATGCGCGTGGCTCTTCTCTGGACTCTCTCAAGCTTCTCCACATCCTTTTTGAATTGTGGAGCCCAAAACTGGATGTAGTACTCCAGCTGCGGCCTCACCAAGGCCGAGTACAAGGGGAGAATGACGTCCCGGGATTTGCTTGAGAAGCACCTATGGATGCAAGCCAGTGTTTTGGTCACTTTACTAGCTGCAGCATCGCACTGCAGGCTCATGTTCATCTTGTGGTCAATCATGACCCCCAAGTCTCTTTCTT